GCCACTGATGCAAAGAGCGGAGGACAGCAAAAGGGTTATTTCAAGCCCAGCCGAAGCCAGGATATCGTGGTATGCTGCATTTCCCAATTAGATTATCGCACACTCCCAAGATCCAACAGTCATCGTGCCAGCAGCTAGATCAATACATAGACTGCCGTAGCTCCACACATGCCCTCGTCCGAACCTAGCGAGCCACTAGGAAGTCACGAGGGAGCCAAGTCCTGCTCGCAGGTTCTCGTGGCTTTTTCCTTCAGGTGAACACGTCCAGGAATCCAGTATCCGCAGCCGCCGCAGTAGTACTACTGTACTGTGTAGTAGTAGCAGGAAATCCAGGTTGTACGCCGGTGGTCCAAACAAAAGATTTGTGATTCCGTGAGAGAAGGAGATACTACCGCCGTTGAAGGGTCGAGGGCACTGTCTGCCAGATGTAGGCTGTGATATAGATTGTGCCACCTATGTGTTCTTAGCCTGCCCGCTCGTGAGGGTCGTGACGAGGCCGCGTGTGTGTGTGTGTTTTCATCCTATTTATCATGGCGCGACAGTCTCCCCCATTATTTGTGGTGAGACGTGTACTACACTTTTGAGCGTATGTACTCCACTACACTTTTCAGTGTATTTTTTCGTACAACTACAACCATCCAGGGTGACACAGGAGGGGGTAAACACCAGGGCTTTTTTCTTCTTTTTATTTCTTTTCATGCCCCTCTTTCCTCCTGCGATGCGTGCTGAATTTTATTTTTTTCGCGAGAAGGGTCCAGCCTTCCCTTTCCGTCGTCAACGGTGCCAACGTCGAAGTTTGGTACTCACGAGAGCTTGTCAGCTACTAAGTATATTTCGCTTTCACCCGCACATGTCGTTAATTTTTCACCCTATCGGGATTCGAACTCACGACCTCTGCGACTAGCGGATTACAAGGATATTTTCTCCACAACACGACCCTTTGAAGCACTGATACCCTGCCTGTCTCAGGGCGGAAGAACACTGTCACAGACGGGCTGGTCAAATCGTTCCTCACAACAAAAAAGCGTTGTAAAAAACATCTTCTCATACAAGGGGCCTCCATGTATACCGTGAAACACCCCTAGATTACGTGTAAATCTCGGTCGTGTGGCGGGGGGGGGGAGGGGAGGTTGCATGCGTCCCCGGGTGGGGCAGGGGGGGAGTACTCTTTATGTTTTGCATGCCTTAGCGGTTACACCCTTGACACGCGCCCTCGAGAGGACGGAGCATTGTTCCCACAGGACCCATCGCCGATGGTCAATCGTACCTTCCTACTTTGCCCAAGGTGGCTCAAAAATGTCTTCCCCAATCTATCATCATACCGGTATCATTTCCTGCCTTTTCAACCCACTTACAACCATGCCCCTCTATTCCTTATCTCCAACATCTCCCTGTACCTTCCCTCTACTTTTCCCAGCTCAGTCAAATACACTTTCCTCTCCTTCTTGTACAACAGACATTCCTCAACTACATGAACACGGTCTTGGCACTCGGAGCCGCAAATTGAACTTGTCTTCATCGTCTACCTTCCGCTTTGTCTACTTTCTCGAAGGCCAATGTCTCCTGTCCCGAATTTGACCTTCAGCTTTGTCCTTGCATCCATTGGTCCATGTAGGTAAATCCGTGAACCCCTTCATTCTTTCAACATTCCGTACACTTCGAGGCCCTCCTTCTTCTTGGTTTCTTTTCTTAAATTCTGTTCTTCTCTCTCGGCAAAAGCAGCAGATCTCTTCTCCTTGAACCCTTTCAGACGTTCCGTTTCCAGCGTTTCACCTTGGTCAATTCTGAACCCCTTCCACACGTCATCTACCACCTTGACCCACTCCATGGGATGCTGCCCTCTTTTTGTTTGCCCGCTTCGCCTCCCAGGCTAATCTCGGCAACCTCTCCTTTCCCATACCGCACATGGGATACTGCCATGTCAGCTTCCTAGTGTCTCTTTCCGATCGTAGGGGTCGGATCCCCAGTTCTGTCCTGACGGCTGCATTTTACTTGTGCGCTTGGAGCATCCTAGAATGACTCGCTGCTTTCATCTGCGCCGCCTCGAGCTTGTTGACTACCTTCTTATTTCCTTTCCATACTTCTCCAGCGTACTCTAGTGGCGGTACGATTACGCTCTTCGAAACTGTCAATGTTGATGCGTGTATCGAGGTGCCGGTTTGCGAGTATTGGGTGCAGCTTCCGTGCTCGTGCTTTGCCCTTTTCCGCTACTTGGACATGTGTGCATTCCACGAGCAGTCTTTTGCGATCTCTCCTCCGAGATTTGTGTACTGATCCACCACTGCAATCTCCTCGATCCCCCGCTTCTATCTATACTGTACTGTTGCCCCCCTGTCCTCGTTGCATACCATGACGGCACTCTTCTTACAGTCTCCACTTAACAGAAACATCCTTCGCTGCGTCAATCTGCTTTGGCAGTCCCTCAAGGGTGTCAGACATTCCATCAAAATCATCCGCAAACAGCATTCCCGACACCCCAAGTTTCCCCTACCTTTACCCCTTTCCAACTATCCTTCCGGCTTTCAACAGATCGTTGATGAACACCTGGAACAGTGTTGGGGACAACGTGCAACCTTGTAGGACCCCCTGTCCAATGTTGAAGAATTTAGACCGTTCTCCGTCTAGCAGCGCTTTTCGTACACTGTCATCTTCTTCAGCACTCTCCACGTTTCCCCCTTTATCCCACAATTCGGACAAATGTTTCCACAGCCCATTTCTCCATACCGTATCGAATGGCTTTTGCACGTTCAGGAGGAAGCAGTACGTCGGCTTCCCCGCCCTCTTTCTACCTTGGATGATTCTCCCAACCGTAAATACGTGGTTTACGCACCCCCTCTCGTTATGAAACCTGCCTGGCCCCAACTTATCATTCCTTCATCCCAGATGCATTTTTTTTTCTACTTTACTAACCCCTTCACCCGTTTCTCTTGGCCCTGACTTTTCCCTACTCCCCTCGAACCCCTCACTCAGATATTGCCCGAAGACTTCTCTACGTTCCCCTGCTTCTTCTTTGTCTCACCGCTTAACCGATACCCCACATCGTACCAACTTGTAATATGTTCCCGGTGGGGGACATTTTAACTTCCCCGGGGTTTCGACGTTTTTCGCCCGTTTTTTTTTACGCGCGTTTGCGCGGAATCTCACACAGAGCTAGTGGGAATAATGGAACACCCCCAGGCTACGCGTCAATGTTGGTCGCCTTTGATTATGGTACAGTGGTGGTCCTGGTAGAATGCCGGTGCGATCCAGCCGATCACCAGCATTATTAAGCGGGCGACCGGCATTACTCAGAGTATGAAACAACTTGAATATCCCATCTGTTCCAGAAATATCACCGGCATCATACACGGAAACTGGCATTGTTCGACCGACGTTATACCGGGACCACTGCTGTAAAGGATATGGTAGTATGACGATGCTAAAGCCTGTGCAACAAAGTGTATGATATGGGTTTCAGGATGGGGCACGAAAGGCCATATAATGAAAAGTAGAAAGCAGGTATCTCGACATAATGCCGTTATGTGCCCAGAGCTTTGACCGGCATCGGGACACCGTCACTATTCAAAACAGACATATATAGGTTTTAGTATAGTAGTGGAGACTGGTGCCCGTAGATATGGCCGGCACTATACCGGGCACCGGCACTATTTCGGAACACCTACTGTGTTGATTTTACTATGTACACACTAAATCCTATGCAGTAGACGAGCCGCCTAAAGTGGGTATCCTGCGTGTCAATCTTGGCCCGGGGGGGGGGGG